TGTTGGGGTTCCCTTATTTTGGGAAATTACCATATAAGGGGTTTCGCCAACTATGGGTTTAGGGTTTTGGGTTTTGGTCCAAGTGTAGGTGGCCTAAATTTTGGGGGCCGTATTTGAGGGTTTACTGCTTCAGGGTTTGGAGGGTCAGGGTTTTAGGGCTTGAGTGTGCCAAGGCTGCAGGGCTTCGGCAGTCATAGTTTCGGGTAGGGACTTAGAGTTTAGTATTAGGCAGGAGGAAAAAAGTTTAGCTTCTGAAGCACATTTGCAAAGGGTAGAGCAGGATGACGCAGGGTCTCAGGGTCTTCAGTGTAGTACGGAGGGTATATGCATGGGCAGATGTCTGGGCTTTATGCTCTGCTTGCGTCCGGCTTCGTCCCCAACCACATGCTCTCAAAGGTGAACGCGCTGGACGCAGTAGCTGCAGCCAAGGGCTTCTACACCTGCAAGGGTGTGGTAGCGGCAGCTCGGCGATGAACGAAGGTCATTGCCCTGCAGAGCCAAGGTCTGACCGTTCTTTTATAAGATCTCTTGATCTTGCACCCTTGGCCTCTGCCATGTCGCTCGCAAACTTTCTTAGGCCAGGCTCGTACATGCCGGTTTCGAAGTGCCCTGCCCACGCGGATACATGTGAACAATTGGCCATTTGCAGCGCTCCAGACTCAAGTGTTCCTCAGCTTGGCGTGCATCAGTGCAAGTAAGAGATTGACAAGCCGCTTATGTAGCCATCTACCATCAAATCGTTCCACACCCTCGTAAATGTCAAAGACTCATTAAATAAAATCGTGTGAGGTTGCAGCACTACCTTGTCCGAGCCCTGTGCATCTGATTTTTCCTTGCTGCGGAGACTTGCGGCAACCCCAGATCCTAAACACGAAGCCCAAAAAAACATCCCACAAACCCCAAACCCTAAACCCCTAAGACACTGAGCCCAGCACACACAAGTACAATCGCCAAAAATAATTTCTGCGTGCCCTTCTATCTGAACTGCTTTTTGTGCAAGCAGACTGCGCATATATGAGTTGAAAAGGGTAGTACAAAAGGATCACAAAAGGTCTTTTTTGACCTGAGCTACCCTAGACCTGGGGATGTATGGTATTTTAGTATCTTCAGGTCAATCAGGAGTTTTGGGATCAACCGTATTGCTGCTCCACGCAGGCTTCACAACGACCTGGAGCGGGCCAAGCGGGAGCAGGCAACGTTGCAGGTTGACGGTTTAATCTTCAGCAGCTCTGGAAGCAATTTCACACAGAGACACTGGTGGGGTTGGGCAACACATTGTGCTTTAGCAGGATAATACCTGTAAGGGTAGATCTGAGAAGTACAATCCAGTTCGCACGCCCAACTATAGCTACTGACACGTCTTCTTTTTGTTATTCCGCCGATGACTACTCCTTTTGTCCTCAGTTTCGTTCTTGTAGCCGCGACGCTGTTGTTGAGTTCAGCGCTGTCGTTGGGTTTACTGATGCCCGCGTTGGATATGTGTATCTTATTTGCTAGGTTTTTTGGTCATTTTCGGTGTCTTTCCAGTTGGCAGGAGCCGCCGGAGCATTTTGGTGGCTGGTGCGACAGGACAGAACGGGTATCATTCGGAAGGAGGAAGCCCTCCAGATATTGGGTTCTGAGATTTGAGACTGCAGGTTTCGGGTTCAGGGTGCAGGCCCTGGCACAACTTACTGGCCGTGTATGGTTTGCTGTGCAGAGCTTCATATTGACACAAACCTATTTCAGGGATGAATGGGGCACTCTAATGCCAACACATACCCATGTCACATACCCAGCTGGGAGGGCTACGTTGCGGACCCCAATTTTGCTGAATTCCTGAAAGCATGGTCTCTTCGATGCTATGAAGTGCGACTCTCATGTTAGCGAAGGATTTGTCCCACGATTTTGTTCTTTTCACGCCTGCGCAGTGATGTCGGCAAACTTCCATAGACTCATTCGCTGGGTAAAGGTTGAAACATCATTAAACATCATTATCTGAGGTAACCTTCTGCAGAGGTACCCCTGAACCTTCAAGGATCCATGATTCTATCCCTACACCCCTAAACCCTAAACCCTAAACCAGCCTATACCCTTAAACCCTGGATGGGTGGACTTGCGTAGGATGGCGTTCTGCTTGGATTTCCCGGGGCGTGTGGTGGGCTTCCCGGTAAGCGCTGAGAGCTTGCAAGGGTTTAGGGTTTAGGGTTTAGGGGTTTAGGGTTTAGGGTTCAGGGTTTAGGGTTTAGGGGTTTAGGGTTTAGGGTTTAGGGTGCCTGAGGACTCAAGAAAGTTCACAGTGCCGTGTGGGAAAAGGTGGTCGTGTCATGTTGTGTCCCAAAATAGGGGCCCCTGTATAGACCAAAATAGGGCGACTTCGTATAGACCCCAATATATTATAATCCTCATTATAGGGACCCCCACAAGGGTATCCCTAATTTTGGGAAACCCTGGTGTGGGAATATATGAGGCTTGGAAGGAGATTGCCAGAGTCAATACCGCTGAGATATTGTCTGGGGTTTTGTTGGAGAAGCTTCCATATGTGACTTCTTCAAAGTCTGAATCGCGTTCTTGGGGGCTGCCTTCCCATTGACCTAGGCCTAACCCGTAACCCCTAAACGCTAAACCCTGAACCCGAAGCCCCGAAACCCTGGAGTTGACTGCGCCTACGCGCCAAGCTTCGCATTCTCCAAAATGTGGACAGAAGCTCGGAATCGCATGGCAGCCGTAACAAAACACCCTGGAGTTTAGGGAAAGAATGCCTAGTTGGCAGAAGTGAGTGAGGTGGAGATCCCGCGACGATCGCCCCGGATGCCAGAGGTGGGATGTACATGAGCTATAGTCTAAACTCTTTAAAGGGAGCTATATGAGGGACTATATAGGGTTTAGGATCTAGGGTCTAAACTCCGTAAAGGGGGTTGTACAGGGTTATACAGGGGAATTAAAGGGGATACTAGGAGTTGAGACTATAGCTCATATAAGCCAAAAGGGTGACCAGTAGGGAGTAGAGACTCTGTCTATACTTGTGGCTGCTGCTTTTCTTAGGCACCCTGGCTTTGGATGACAACCGGTGCTTTGTGCTACAACAATTTTCAGGCCCCAGGTTGGATTAATTACTCTTTGAACTGGTGCCATAGTATAGTCTCTATATAACCCTATATATATATATCTATCCCCACATGGCCCTAGATTATCCGAATATTCCCTTAGGGCGTCCTAGCCAAACCTTTGTTCTAGAATGTCCTGGCCTATGAAGCACTTGCTGAGCAATTCGAATACTGACCATGAGCCTAGCCCCAGGCCTTTGCAAAATTCCAAGAATCGTGAACATTCTTGCTTTACATTGTCATGGTTTTGTCATGTCTTATCATTTGCTGTCGTCGGCAGTACGGCTGTTTCAACTACCAGTTTCAGGCCCCATAATATCCTCCCGGATAGCTATCCCCAAATCTCAAACTCCCATACACTTGAGCGACTAAACCAGGAAATAGTGCAGCACTTAGGGTCACCAACATTTTGTAATCATTGGGGTATCAGGTATATAAGGTCCACAGTATGACAACCTCTACAATTAATTTCAAGGGCAGGTTTGCAAATGCTCTGTAGTTTTTATTACCTGACTCCCTATATGATCCCAAGAAAGCCATAAGAATCTACTTCTTATGGGGGCCCCAAACCTAAATCCCAGACCCCTAGCCTAAACCCTAACCCTAAGCCCTAAACCCTAAGCCCTAAGCCCTAAACCCTAAACCCTAAGCCCTAAAACCTAAACCCCTTAACCCTAGATTTCCCCTCCAGCAGCGATATTCTGATGACCGGCAGGTCTTGCGCATCTCCCACGGCGTGGCTTGCCAAGTTGCCATCTGTGATAATCCCCTTCCCGTAATCTGGGTTGCTGTTAAGGAACTTAAATTAAGTTACCATAATGGGTATATATATATATATAGTAAATCATAGGGTTTCCCCAATATAGTAACTCAATTTAAATTCCTTAACAGCAACCCAGTAATAATCACCCTCAAGCAATAAATATGGTTTAGGGTTTAGGCGAAGGGTTTGGGATTTAGGTTTGGGGCCCTATAGGAATTAGATTCTCATGGTTAGTTTAGGGTGTAATGGTTAGGCGGGTTTATTGCTGGGAAGGGGGGTGATGACACGAGATGAATCTTGGACATCACCATTACTATCACTATCCGCTCAGGGCCCGGGGAATATTGACCCTAAACCCTAAACCCTAGACCCTAAACCCTCAACCTATAGGTTCATGATAGGACGACCTTACACTCCGATAGGGCCCTGTGTGGAAGTGCCCCTGAACCCTAAACCTTACTTGGAGAGTCAGGGCGGCGGAGTAGGTATACTTTTATCCCCTATAAACCATACAGTAAACCCAAATTATCCCCAGTATGTACCTGCCTACTACTCTAAGTGCCTCTGACCCTCCAAGGAAACTGTGAAACTGCAATCTCGGCTTTTGGTTCGGGGTTAGTCAGTACACGCGGTTAGGGTTTCGGTTTTTAGGTTTGAACTCAGGACAGTTGATTTGATTAATCCCACTCCAACTCCCAGAACCAGGAATATCATATCAGCTATAGTCTAAACTCCTTAAAGGGGACTATATGGGGGATTATGTAGGGGACTACTATAGGGCATTAAGGGGGATACTAGGAGTTTAGACTATAGCTCAAATAGCCTCGAAGAGGGCTGCTATAGCCTATGCTAACACCCGTGCTTCGTAAGTACCTTGCCCCTAAACCCGAAATCCCTTTTTCATCCTATTTTCACTGACATTTTCAAATTAGTTCCCCACTACAACCCAGATACCCCCATGCACCCCATATCTCCCTACATACTCCTTCATATCCCTATAACCCCAATATAACCCCAAACACCCAGAACCTGAAGCCTTAAACCTTCCTAAACCCTGAACCGCGAACCCTATGCCCTAAACCCGAAACCCCAAGCCCTAAGCCTCAAGCCCTAAGCCCTAAACCCTAAACCCTAAACTCTACAAGACCCAGGCGCTGGGCTGCTGGTGTTGGAATGCCAAAGCTGTCGCGGAGGACGGCACTCGGTGTATTCGGAGTGAACTCTATGGTTTAGGGCTTAGTGCATAGGGTTTAGGGCATAGGTTCAGGGTTAAGGATTTAGGGCTTAGGCCTTAGGTTTTTTTGGGGTTTAGGAAGGAGGTTTAGGGCAGGGTCCAGGGATTGAGGTTTTGAATCTATTGTTTTGGGTGGTAATGAGTAATTGGGTGCAGGGTTGGGGGATTGGAGTCTGGATTTTTTGCAGGGACTAGGGTTTAGAGTGTAGTTTTGCAAGTAGGAGCCTTGTGTAGGGCTTAGGATAGGGGAGTGAAGGTAGTAATACATGTCCGAGAACTAAGAGAAGGGCGCTGAGGAAAGAACCAATTCAGGGCTCAGCTGGGAGGTGTCTACTTGTTGAGGGCAAAGCATCTAACTTTCATTTGGGTGGTTGTTAAAATTATGGTCCCTTTTGGGGTACCCTAAATATTAGGTGCCGTATTATAATGGGGATCCAAAAAGGGACCATAATTTTGACAACCACCCATTTGGTGCAGCTTGCAGAGTATCAACGCTCGTTCTGGCAACCCATGCGTAAATAATCTTTATGTTACCTCATGCAGGGCTTGGTCGAATCCCAATATATTTCCTTTCAACAAGTACGGTTCTGGCCCCATACAGAACCCGAAAACACTAGTGACTCAGAGTCCTGAAGCGCTCGCCGCCGAATCCAAACAGTAAGATGCCGCAAGCAAAGCCTGAACCGTCAACCCTGAACTCTCAACCCTGAAGCCTGAACCCTGAATGCTAACCCTAACCACCTTTTTTGCAGGTTATTTCAGACGCGGGCCTCCTGCCGTTTGAAGAAGGCTGGCTTCAGAGAATTGGCATGCATGGAGATATCCCAACAGGGGTTTCGAGCAGTTTTTAAAAAGCCAGCAAACAGGAACTCAGGTTTGGGGATCAGGATTGGCAAGAAAACTGTGTTCGCATGGTTTTGAGGTGCTACGTCGAGTATGGTAAGGTTTGTATAGGGCTCTGTGGGCAATCATGGTGCGCAAAAAGGTTACAGTTGTCAAAATGGGATGCAGCCTAAGCCTGGGGAGTCGCTACAGCTCCTAAACCCTAAACCCTAAACCCTAAACCCTAAACCCCTAAACTGGCATGAGCCTGCACGGAGGCAAATGTATGGCCTTCTCAGACAACTTGAGGTTTCTCGATTTGCCCACCGGACAGCAAAGCTTCTGCTTTGCTGGAACTGGGTTTAGGGTTTAGGGTTTAGGGTTTAGGGTGCTGGAACTGATGTACCTTTAAATGGTTCGATAGGGTTTACTATAGGGGTTATATAGGGATGCATAGAGGTTTTATAGGGTTTAAGGTTTTCCGAAATCGGGTTAGGTGGGATACTGCACCCCATCAGTACCATTTGGGTAATATAATCATAAGGTGAACATGCAAAGCCTCTCGTATTACCCCTATCATCGACTGCTATTGCGTGGGGGCAGTATCCAAGCTTTAGGATTTAGTCGTGAGAGGTTAGAGTACATTTCCTGCAGCGCGCCGTGTAGTGAAGAGGTTCTGCGAGAGTTTCCTTCCTTGCAGGTTCATGGGAAGTAGTAACTACATATAGCTAGCTTCATAACCTTACGTAACACCTCTTCACTGGCCTTACATAGGTTATATTCCCGTCTGGTAGGGATATGACCCAGTTTTATTGGATAGGTTCTAAGTCCCATGGGCCTCCACATAGGCTACCCCAGAGAACGGTTGTGTAAACGAATGGAACTGGCATCATGGAAGGGTTCTCTCAGGCCTCCAAAGGTTCCTGGATTTTTTTCGGGTGTAGCTTAAGCTTTGGCCCTTAGGGCTGTTTTGTAAAGAATAATAGAGGCAGTAGGCACCCTGATAAGATGCATTTTCAATCTGCTTCCGACTTTAAGCCCCCAGAAAAGGAAGGCACAAGTCTGACAACAACCTAACCTGGTAGTTTCCCAAAATAGGGGGACTCCAGTATAGGCCCCAATATTTTGTTATCCTTCTTATAGGGACCCCATAAAAGTACCCCTAATGCTGGGAACCCCCGCCTGTAAGCACCTCATGGTGCAGTCACCCCATGAAGCCTTGCCGAGACAAGCATTCCTCAACCCAGAGGACCTTACCCTAAACCCTAAACCCTAAACATTGCATCTCTTCTTCGATTATCCTCAGATGAATGTGGTCCGGGAGCTGCGCTTACCATTGGCGATGAGGCGCGCTCTCGTTTTTTTTAGTGTTGGGTCCTACTTCAGGATTTCAGGAGTAAATAGGTGGGTGTTTCCAAACCTTTGGGGCATTTTCAAAAGGGTTTATTAAAGCTTATGAGGGTCATGTGGGGTTCTGCGTTTAGGGGCTAGTGTTGAATATATCTAGGGTTTCCAGAACTGCTGGGTCTGTCGCAGCAGGAAGGGATTTTATCATGGTACTTTTTGTTGTTCAACCTGCGAAGGCTTTTGAATAAAGTTGGTTCTATAGCGCCGCCAGGGTTCATCCCACGGGGTTCAGGGTTTCGGGTTTAGGGTTTACGGTTTCAGGGCTTTGGAAACTGCAGCTTTTCATCCGTTCCTCGAAAATGTTTCGTCAACAAAGGTTGCAGATCTTTGCCGGTGTTTACAATCCTTAAAACGTTTCCCAACACCCCTGATGCCTATGAGCCCCCTATGTAATCCCAGTTTCCGCTTCATTTTCCATAGTCTTTTTCATGTGATCCTCCGTTATTTGGGGTAATACTCTTGAACTCTAAACCTTAAACCTTAATTGATATTCCATTTTCTGATGTTAGATGACTTTACATAACCCCTCATATATCTATATATCCCCTATAACCTCTGTAAAAGGGCACCTAATTGGGGGTAAAACGGTGGATGGATGTGCTCATGCACCGTACTATAGAGCCCCAAGAATGCGAGTTACAGTAGTTTGAGATCCCCAAGTGGTGCAAGATTTCCTCCATCCCCCTTGTCCTCAAAAACACCTTTTCCGAAGATCCTGCGCGACTGCCCGACCAAAGTATGGCTTTGTTGACCGGGCTTAGGGTTTAGGGAATAATGGAGAGTCAAATGGAAAAGAAAATGGACAAAGAAATGGCAACATGTGTGTTACAAGGAACAACACTATTTTCGGGCCTTTCATTTTCGTGGTATAGAGTACCTGAAGTTGACATCAACATGATATTGGGAATTGTTTCGCGAATCAGGCCCCTACATCAATTTCTGACCGCAGGATCCTTCAAGAAGCCTATTTCAAGCTTGTGTCATATACAAGTCTGAATGATTCCTGGTTGGGTGGTTGCAGTGCTTCGCTACAAGACGTTGGGTAATGCCTGGAAGCGCTGCTGGTGTGAAGGGTGGCCCACGTTATGCAAGACGAGCGATGTCTCCTTGACCCCAACAGCATGAATCCTGTGCTTTGCTGAGGCTTCCCTCCAATGAGATCCCCATCTGCGGAACATGCAGCTCATGCTACACCCAAAGATACCTTAAACTGCTAGCTTCCGGCCCCCCGGAATGAGAAACCTCCTTTTCAGGGGTATTTTGGAAAGACCTGGTCTGGCAAACTGCCCAGCTCCTGCCCTGACCCTGACATCGAAAGCTTAAACCCCACCCAACCACCAGACTCGAAGTCTTAAGCCCCAAGGTCTGCACTATGACCCCTAAATGCTAAACCCTAAATAACCCTAAACCCTAAACCCTAAATGACCCCAAACCCTAAACCCAAAACCCTAAACCCTAACCCAGAACCTTAAACCCTAAACCCTAAACCCTTCAACCCAAAGGCCACCATCCCAGGGGCCCCCAACATCAAGAGCGTTGGGAAAGGTGCGGATTGACGTCACCGTGGAAGAAGCGAAGCAGCTACAGGCCGCACGGAAGCTGGGATAATGGAAAAGAAAATGGAAACTACCATATTAAAATGGGGCATACATTGGGGTTATATTGGGGATATTTGAAAAGAAAATGGAAACTACTGCTAGGATGTAGACAGAGTTCATGTAAGCTATAGTCTCAAGTCCTTAAAGGGGGCTATCTAGGGTTCAGGGTTTAGGGTTTGGGGGTTCCGGATTTAAGGTTTAGGTCTAGACTCCTTAAAAAGGGGTTACATAAGGGATTATTTAGTGGAGTATTATAGAGGTTTTTGAGGGGGATATTAGGAGTTTAGACTCTATAGCTCATCTAACAGGGCTTTCCTAACATTGCATGGGGATATCGCGGAAGGATGAATCATTGAATCATAGGGTCCATCTCGGCCCTTCTAGATCCTAGAGCTTGTAGCGGGACTTTGTGCCGATCATATGGGCACTTGTTCCAGGATTGGAGCATGCAGTGTGACAGGTGAACCACGGTGGCTGGAACGACCGCATGACGCAGCCGAAATCTCAGGGCAATCTTTGGAACGTAATGTAGAAGCCTGAGAAGATTGGACATCGTATCCTGTGATAATGCGGTTTAATGTTTACCAAAATACGGGGACCTCAATATACTATATAGTCCTCATTTTAGGCACTCCTAAAAAGCGTAGCCCCAATTTACAAAAACTGTGTCCATGCATTTCAGGCCTCCACTGCGACGCAACTCTAACAGTAATGAATCCGGTTTTCTACCTTTAAGCGTATCGTTCCTGCGCGCCAGGGCCCCGTAGGGATACAGGGGAAGTTGGAGTAGGTGTCGTTAGTTGGGATTCCATAGCGGTTATTTTGTGAGACACATTTGTAAGCTCAGATGAGCTTGTGCTCGGTTTCTTTATCAAAGCCGTACATTATTCAATTTGTCCCGGGCCTAGCCCCGACCTCGCACCGCCAGCGCTGCTGGCTTAACTTTATGGATGATGGAAATCCCGCTCATCATTAATGCAGATATGTACCAGCATCGTCGTCCTCTTGTCACATGTTCTCAGCCGTAACGTTTCATGAGCAGGGCTTTGTCTTTACGGAATCCCCACTTCGATGAATCTGAAGTAGGATTGGGGTCTGACACAGCCCAGCTCAATTTGGCAAGCTGAATTCAAGTTGGACATTGCTTTCACCCTATAACAACCATGAATAGTACTAGGATGAAGGTGTATGGAATACCCTTTCGATATCAGGGGGGACGGTCACCCAGAATCTTACATCCTGAACCCTAAGCCCTCAACCCTAGACCCTAAACCCTAAATCCTAAGCTAAAACCTTAAAACCTAACCCTAAATCCTAAGCCTTCCATCTTGCACCGTAAGCTCTGAACCCCAAACCATAATCGCTAAACCCTAAACCATAATCCCTAAACTGTATTTGGGTAGTTCCCAAAATTAGGGTCCCATTTTGGTACCCCTAAATATTAGGTGCCGTAATAGAATCTGTAACCAAAAGGGGCCCATAATTTTGGGAACTACTTATTTGCCATCCTGCATTGAGGTGTTGTGGACGGGTCGGGCGTCTAGAGGCTATCGACAAGGCCGGAGACATGAAGGCGCCGGTCTTGATCTGTGTTCGTGCGGGGGATAGGGTTATATAAGGTTATCTAGGATTATATAGGATTATATGGGGTTATATAGGGTTATATAGGGTTGTATAGGGTTGTCTAGGGTTATGTAGGCTGAGAAAATAGAGACCAGTACTTAAGGTTTAGGCTATAGGGATACAGAACCCCAACAATGGGAGAATCAAATCTAAGAAAATGGACAATGAAATGGACACTTGGAGTGAATAGGGGTTGAAAAGTCATTACTGCCCCACCCTAAACCCTAAACACACTAAACTCTAAACCCCAAACCCTTGTAACTTGCGGTCTCCCAGGTGCTGGTCCCTGGTGCCGGCGCCTTTGTTTGGAATCCCAGGGCGCTGCGGTCGCTGCACGCGCAGAGGCCGTCTGAGTGACAGGATAAGGGTTGGGTTTAGGGTTTAGGCGTTAGGGTTTTGAGATTGATTCTTGGAGCTGGATTTCGACGGGGTTCTAGCGGGTTGCTGCACTTCTTAAAGTCCTGTTTAGCATGGGGACCTTATGATGCAAGATCCCCTTAACCTGAAAACCACAACTCTAGAACCGTGAATGGCATACTCTATGGTCCCAAACGTGGGGTCAGATCATAATCTTCCTCTAGTTCGTGGCAATAAGTATTCCATAGGAAGAAATTGGCAAACTTACCTGCCGCATGCTCAGGGGCTAGAATTTCTTCCTTCTTACACAACTGTGAGGGGGTCCAGTGCGGCCTTGGGATCCTTATGGTTCATATCAAAAGCTACCTGAGGGGACTCCTTGTAATCCATCATACCAAGTTCATCCAAGATTTTTGCATCCACCAAAGAAAAGGAGCTCCGTTCCAAGATGCCCTTAACCCAGGATCGGCAATCATGGTAAAGCCCAGAGCAGCAGGTGGGAATCTGCACTGTGCGAGAGACTCTGTGGGCCTGCTTCTCAGAAGTGGGCGGTTTAGGCTTTAGGGTTCAGAGGGGGGAATATATGGGAGGATATATATTGGGATAATGGAAAAGAAAATGGAAACTACTATTTAGGGTTTAGGGTTTAGGGATTCGGGTTTAGGCTTTAGGGCTCGACGTGCTGCGGAACATCATTGTGCGGTTGCACTTGTATGGGGGTCTAAGAAGGATAGCTGCCTTTTAGGACTGTTGGGCGCATACACCTGGATTTTCTACCTATAAGCTCTTGGGATTATTGTAGGCGTTATTGGGAGCCCGACATGGATAGTATCTTAAATAGGCCTACGCCACTACAGCGTAAGAGTTATTTGTCGTGTGATTGTCGTTTTTCAGAAACGGATGTCAGCCTACTTGTTTCAATGAATGGAAAATTCAACCAAGAACACTTCTGGCTGCCTTGTCATGTGGTGAGGTAAGCATGCACACTTGAAGTAAGCAACCCTTCCCCTTATGTATGGTATGTTCACTCAGAAAACCTTCGAATTTGCATTCTTTTGCGGCTGCTGCATTGGTCGAAGCCCTGGACCTTAAACCGTAAACCCTACGCCCTAACCTAACCCCAACCCTGAGTCCTAAACCCTAAACACTAATTGCTAAACCCAAACCCTGAGCCCTAGACCCTAAACCCTAAACCCGAAACCTCAAACCCTGAGTCCTAAACCCTAAACCCTGAGTCCTAAACCCCAAACCCTGAGCCCTAAACCCTAAACCCTAAACCCCAAACCGCAAACCCTGAGTCCTAAACCTTAAACCCTGAGTCCTAAACCTTAAACCCTGAGTCCTAAACCCCAAACCCTGAGCCTTAAACCCTAAACCCCAAACCTGAGTCCTACACCGTAAACCCTGAGTCCTAAACCCCAAACCCTGAGCCCTAAACCCTAAACCCGAAATCCCAAACCCTGAGTCCTAAACCTTAAACCCTGAGTCCTAAACCCCAAACCCTGAACCCTAAACCCTAAACCCTAAACCCGAAACCCAAAACCCTGAGTCAAACCCTGAGTCCTAAACGCCAAACCCTGAGCCCTAAACCCTAAACCCTAAACCCGAAACCCAAAACCCTGAGTCAAACCCTGAGTCCTAAACCCTACAGCCACTTACGCTAAGGTCACTCGAAGGCACTTTGCCCCTCGCTCTCCTCGCTGCCCTGTCGAGTCTGGGATGCCGCTAGGGCCCCAGGAACTTACTGGTGAAAAGTAGGGGCAAAGGGTGTATATATATATATATACACATACATATACATCCCTTTTTTCCATCTCAGGTTTAAGGTTAGTAGGTAATAAGGGAATAGAATTTAATCCCTATATAGTCCCTTGAGATACTATATTCCCTCATTCCCCATTGGCTCCAAGACAGGGAAGCTAAGCCTCAGAAATTTGTTTTGAGAGATGCCAGGTTTTGGCTTCGGGTTTGGGATACAGTGCCCCGCACTGGAGAAATCACATGGACAAAGGCATGGAACGCGTCATGGAACGTATTTTTTTGCTTTCGGGTTTGGTTGGCTTCTCATGTTTAGGCATCATTTGCGTTTAGATTGTAAGAGTTTAGCTTGGGTTGCAGGGCTTCGGGTTTGGGATTCAGGCTTTATAAGATTTTTGGGCGGAAGGTTCGCGGGAGAGTGGCTAGCCATCCCATTTCTGGATTGTCAAAGGGGTCTTGGAACCATCATCGGCAGCAGAGACACCAAGCTACTACCTGCTAAAGGTTGGTCCCGAGCCCTACCCTAAACCTTGAACCTTAAGCCCCAAACCCTAAACCTTAAACTTTAAACCCTGTAAACCCTATAAACGCTAAACCTTTAACCCTAAACCCCTAAACACTAAACCCTAAACCTTAAACCTTAAATCCTAAATCCTAAACCCTAAAGATAGACCCCCGCAGAACCCAACGGTACTTGGAGTTCTTGTGACGGTGTTCTAGCTGCACGCGCTCGGTGGGAGTTCCTCCAAACAACCCTAGGATACTCACCCTCAAGAAATTCAGGGTTAAGGGTTTAGGGTGAGGCTGGGGGGTTTGAGTACTGTAGCAGCAACTTTTCTCATGATTTGAATCAGAAACCTTACTTGGAGAGCCATGGGGTAGGCTTATAGGTAGCCCAAAATAGGGGTACGCAGCGCTACTGCATTCATCTTTTCCAGAACCCTTGTTGTAACTAGCAATAAACCTCCAGGGATTCCCACTTCGCAGCAGGATTGGCGGAAGGCATACTAGGTAGCGATGTTCTTGTTGGAAATACTTCTGGCTTTCTGTTGGACCTTTTTTGGTTTTTAGGAGAGCATCCTAAACCCTACACCCTAAACCCCAAGTCCATGAGGTGGGTTCAAGGGCTTGCTAGAGCTTAGATTCGGCTCAAGGAGGGAAGCGTTGACGTCAACCTAATTCCTACTTGGAGGGTCAGGGTGACAATTTAAGCAGGTTTAGACGGGTGATAATTGAGGTTACCATGTGGCTTCTAGGGGTTATTGATATACTTACTCAGTCCCCCTAACCCTCCAAGTAAACCCTACGAAAGTCTGAAACCTTCATAAAGTGCAAGCTCTAAACTGTACCTGGAGGCTCAGGAGGCGTAGCAGGTAGGTTGCGATTGGGTGTATGAGCAGGTCAATCCCAATTAGGGGATTCATAGCCCGGTTTATGACTTACACACTAAGTCCATCTAAGCCCCCTGATTCTGCGAGATAGTAAACCCTCAGCCTTCAGCGAAAACCGGCAAGCATACATCCGCTGAGGCCTCGACACTGACGGTCTAGCGGCTGCCTATGATGAGCTAGCTGCTGACGCATGGTGCTTAGAGTATTCAAGGGTTTCTGTAGTAGTAATAAAAATACGAACAGCAAAATAACATTAAAACGATTCAGTAGTATCAACACTAATAGTACTAGTAATGATAGTGGTTTCGGGGCTCAGGGTTGGAGATTTGGAGTGCTGTAGGGGTCGAGGCTTGCAGTAGGTCAAGTCCGTGAAGCATTACCACCAGCTCTCAAAAGAGCCCTGAAAGGTTCCGGTCTAGTCGCCGTCTGCTTCAGCAATTCTGTTTCCCAACGACGTGAGGGTTCTGCTAGCAGATTGAAATCGCCTCAACCCTAAACCCTAAACCCTAAGGCGGTTTTTGCAAGTCATCATGCTGAGGCTCAGAGTTCGCAGGATGGTGGCTTCCAAGGAAAGCGGCTGCGTATTTGGAGTTTCTCCAACTTTCTCTACATAGGGTTTTTCCCAAAATTAGGGGTACCCTCTTGGTGGTCCCAATAGTTGCATTTCAGGATTATAGCATTTCGGGGTCTATGTTGGGGTCCCCTTCTTCATCAGCTTAGACCTTAAGCCTTGCATCCTAAACCCTAATCCCTAAACCCTAAATCCTAAACCCTAATTCCTAATCCCTGAACCCTAAATCCTAAACCCTAATCCGAAAACCTAATCCCTAATCCCTAAATCCTAAATCAGAAGCCCGAATCCCTAATCCCTAAATCCTAAATCCTAGACCCTAATCCCTAAACCTTAAATCCTAACTTTCAAGCTCGGGATTCCTAGGAGCCTCAGATTTTGAGCACCTCTCCGTATCTGAAGTTGGGTAGCCTTACACAGAGCTGCCGGCTTTGTTGCGATGGTTGTGTCCCTATATAGCCCATATATCCCCTAATGTAACCTATCTATCCGCTATGTACACCCCATATCCCCTTACATAACCCATATATCCCCCCATATAACCTATCTATCCGCCATGTAAATCCTACATCCCCTTACATAACCCGTATATCCCCCTACATAACCCGTATATCCCCCTACATAACCCACATATCCACCTAGGTTGCCCCCAGATCCCCCTTGCCTGGTGTGACCCCGGGTTTGTTGCGCGGCCTGAGGTATCAGGGTTTAGGGTTCAGGGTCTCGCCCTAACTGGTGCAAGTAGGTGAAAATGAGGATCTACTACACTTGGGTTTCCCAAAATTAGGAGTACCTTTCTGGGGTCCCAAGAATAAGGATTATAGATTATTGGGGTCTATATTGAGTTTCCCTTACTTTTGGGAAACTAGGGAATGGATCCTTATAGTAGCCCCTGTATAATCCATTACAGTAGTTTCCATTTTCTTTTCCATTCCTTCCCTACACCCTAAACCTTGGGTACTGCTCCCCCTCAGTAACAGTTGGATAATCATTATAATAGGGTTATATATAGCCCTTAATAGGACCCCTAATATAGACTGTTACTGGGTGGGGGCAGTACCCAACCTAAACCCTGCACTTCTTTCCTTGAGCGTCTTTTGGAAGTAAGAAGAGGCATCAAAGAGGTCAGAGCTATCATTTGCCAGCGTGAGAGGAGTTGAAAAGCTTAGCTCCCAGGTGTTTTAGGGTTTAGGGTTTAGGGTTTTTAAAGTGCTATTTGGGCAGATCCCGCAGTCGGCAGCTTGCTTACTCACCAGGTTGAATGTAGCTGGTCTCCAAACAGCAGGTCCTTTCCGTAGATCGCCGAGACATAACACTTTGTTGACTCCAGTGGTGAGTGTCTCTTACGCAGTGCCCGAATCCCTACTGACCAAATCCTGTATCCCTGTTTATCCATGTGTGGGGGTGTTTGCATAAATAGGGGGTCCCTAATGAAGACCCCCGTATATTCTAATCCTTTTCTCAGGTGCTTCCAGCAAGGGAACCATGTTTTTTGTTGAAACCCTAATCCTTGCAAACCACTATAGAATTCTACTTTCCATTTTCTGTTCCATTTTCTTTTCTGTTTGATTCTCCATGATTGGGGGTACCATCTCTATATACTCCCTGCGTAACCTCTATTAAAAAATCAAGCCCTATGTAAGCCGACGTAAGCCGCCTTTAGAACCCTATATATCTCGTAGGAGGTCCCAATATCAGGGAAAAGCCGTGGACTTTACGGAAGCCCCAGCTTTGTGTTTCTGAAACCCTGAAGTCCCGCAACCACTACTTGGAGGGCTTCGAGTGCTTGACCGTCGAGACCCTTGACACTGAACCCTAAACCCTGAACCCTAAACTCTAAACCTTAAACCCTGAAAGCAAGCTGAAGCAGGATGGCTCTTGTTGGCTTCGGCGGCTCTGCTTGTTGAGCCCTCCGTGGTACCACCCTCGGCATCCAGCCTCCTACTTATGCTCAAGAGTCATGCATGACAACAGGCACCTTGTACCCTGGGACTTATGGTAGTTTATGGTAGTTTCCATCATGGGTGTTCTGGGAACCTCTAAACCAGGATCCTGTTTTCGGGAAATTTCATTCTAGTGCAAGTAGAATAGGGTCATGCAAGCTTTGCGGTATCGACTGTCTTGTGGTCTAACAGCCGAAAAAGGTTTGTGGAGGTGATAAGGTAGGGATATAGCAAGGCACGGGAAGCCGTGAGGATCTGTGTGATTCAGGTTTTGGAATTGAGGGGTTAGGCTTCTGCTTTCTATTGTGCGAAAAGACTCAGAGTTAGGACGGGATACCCTCCCCAAACAGACATGAAAGCTCATCTAGCCTTTTGGATGTCCATGTTCCTTTGGCAATTGAAGGAGGGTTCTGCAAGCTGTGCCCTGTCAAGGCGGCGGAGTCTCTTGAGTCTCTTGAGGAGGCTCCGAAGATCTTCGGGTGAGTGCTGCTGGTGGTTGGGGCGGCGGCGGTGGCGGTGATGACGGTAGTGGCGGTGTTGGTGTTGGTGGTGGTAGGTGTAGCAGTAAGCACTTTTGGGTCCGGATTGGGGTTTTCTAAAGATCGTGGGTTCCTTCTTTTGGAGGCCTTGTAACAAGGATTGTGGAAGTATTCGCCTCGAAAAGCAAAGGACTCTTTGAAGGGATGTGCTCCATCATGCAATGTGCAGTAATACATGGCCATTTTGTGCTCAGTCATCTGCTACTCCAGACAAGGTGCAGTCAGGTGTGTGTCAACAACATCATGACTCTTCTCCTGAGCCATAATCAGATGCTGTCAATACTTCCTAGAACGCGTCTGGAGGTGGAGTCGCGCAAGAATAGTTTCACACGGGGACTTACGAAGGTGTTCACTTGATAGTAATATCCCCACATGCTTCTTCTCACCAGTCTTTGAATTCCCCCCCCTTACGGCAGGTCCAAAACAAGTCCGGCAAGGCTTTGGGAAGTGGACTCCTCAGTCTTCTGCGAGATGGTAGTTTTCCAAAACAAAGGGACCCGAACATAGACCCTAAACTACTATAATCCTTACTATGGGGACGCCCAAAAAGGGCACCCCCAGTTCTGGGAAACCCAAATCGCGATGAGGGCAGCCCTTGGCTCCAAGCTTGGATTCTGCAGCTTTTATTCTTGTACCTTCAACCTCATCGCCGTCACTACCCAGGAGGCTTACTTTGAGAACCCCCGGTGAACAACCTCCTTTTCATCTTGCTTGAATTGAGGTTCAGAAGCCCTAAACCCGAATCTTCTTATGCCTTTTGAGTCGCCTGCGGATGTGTCTGGTGCTTTATGGCAAGTTCGCGATCTCTCTAGTGTGGGTGCGGATCCTTATACACCTACTATATATACTCTATATGTGACCTTAAGGGCCTCTAAAATCCCCTAAGAGTCCTGACGGCCCATCTTAGAGGCCCATACTAGATGCCTACGGGGAAGGACCTCCTGGCTGATATCGGTATTGCAAAACAAGGAGGCCTTTTCATTCTCCATGAAGATCAGATCTTCGGTCGGGGTTTGGGGTTTCGGGAGTTTGGGCTATATAGGGATGATGGAAAATAAGCTGGAAACCACTATCTAGGGTTGAGGGTGTAGCTTTTAGAGTTTAAAACTTAAGGTTTACTTGTCTGAAAGGAGCTCGATCAAGGCAAAGTGTCTGGAAGTCTTCTGGATAATCATTTCCTGCGGAGTCCTTTCGCTGCGCGCAGTTGTCCTACAGTTCCCTACAACGCAATTCCCAAACAAATTTCGTGTCGAAACTGAATGCAACCTTTAATCCCCTTGTTGTCCCTATGCGCTCAAGGGGTCTGATGCTCGCCATGAGAACCCACAGATCAACAACTGCCAGCGCAACCTAGTCTTTATAATCCCCTCTCCATAGTATTAGTTCAAACCACCCACTCCCTGGTATGATATATCTTGATATTCCATGTTAGGGTTGGGGGCTTTTAATATTATCCCAGGCCCGGAGGCCCCAACCTGAACCCCCACAGATCTTTATACATTCTTTTCAAGGATCCCAACTGCTTCCATAGCCTCCTATCAATGTCTCATGTACCCTTAAAATCCCCTAAACCCCTAACCTTAAGCCCTAAACGCTCAATGCCTGACCCCGATCCCTCACGACTGGAGCCTGAAAGCTCGTTCTGAGACTTGGCGGCTAAATCCTCGCCTGAACCCATCTGAACACTTGGCTATAAGCTACACGTGATACCCTCAGCGCAAGAGCCCAAACCTTGAATCCAAAGCCCTGAAACGCAAGGCCTAGGCCGCCCGCCTGTCTCTGGTGGGCGCCTTAGCCCCTCTCCCAGGGCCTCTCCCAGAACCTCTCCCAGGCCTCCCGTCCGTTCGCCTTCCAGGGGGCTTCCCAGCCTTTTCAAGGTACAGCCAGGGCCGGCCATGCCGGAGCTTCCTTCAAAGATTGAATCTAAGTTAAGTTGCCAATGGGCATATAAATATATATATATATATAATATATAAGTATAACTAACATGGATCCCCCCATTATAGGCATTTTTTTTGTTTTCAAAAAATGTTCAAAAATTGTCAGAAAGCTTCCCACAGGGTGAAAACCTTTGTGACCATTTTTCAGGGGGCCTGCAAGAAGGTTTGAGATCCCTTGAACAACGAAAACACCAAATGAAATGTATTTGTGTTGTTGACCAAGATGGACCTACGTGAGTTGAGGTCCTAAGCCCTAAAAGGAGTAGGTTTGGGTGGCTCGGCCCCCTCACACGGCGCGGGGTGGGTGATTGGTTAGAGTGCCCTCTACAGTCAAGCCATGGCAGCACCTCGCATGCTTGCACGGTAACTCACAGCAAATCTTAAACCCTAAACCCCCTAAACTCTGAATCATCAACCCTAAAGCCTGAAACCCTAAACCCTGAATCCTAAACCCTTAAAACCTAAACCCTAAACCCTGAATCCTAAACCCCTAAACCCTTAAACCCTAAACCCTAAAGCCCCAAACCCATGATATCCCTTAAGGTCTCCTGCGGCGAACCGCCCAGCCCCTGCTTCCGCGAGTGACTGCACAGCTGGGACGCCGGGGCCTCGGCTGGGTTTCCCCCCTTTGCGGGGTTTTTAGGATAAAGGGCATAGGTTGTACGTAGGGTTTAGGATAAAGGGGTTTGGGATCAGGGTTTCGGATTCAGGGTTTAGGATAAACGTTTTAGGATTCAGGGCTTAGGATAAGGGGTTTAGGGTTCAGGGTTTAGGGCAAAGGGCATGTAGGGTGTGGGGTTTCAGGTCTAAGGTGGAGGATGAGGGGCTGGGGGTGGTTTAGGGCATCAAGTATACATGCTATCTTGGTGGTTGTTGCTAGAGGGTTATCATCGGGAGTTGGTATGTTACCGAACTTTAGGATCCTCTGGAGTACTTGGCTCTCCTTTTGCTGCCTCTTCTTCCCTCATCGTAGAAGTTGACCAGCCCTAAACCCTAAACCCTAAACCGGATTACTTTGGCTTCTTCTGCCGCTTCGTCGAGCTATGGGCCAACATGTCTAAGGGTTGCGGCTTGTGTTGGAACCCTAACCACCAAAACCGCTCTAAAACCTATTGCCGTCTACTACCCAAAACGCAAAATCCTGTTTGTTGCCTGCGCGCAAACCAAATTTCAATCCGCATTCCAAACCCTGGACTTTGAAAAAGCTACGCGGGTCTCATCTTTGTATTCCAAAGCTCGGGTGCACTCAGAGTCCTCGCACAAACTCGAAACATTGAACCCTAAACCCTACTGTGAGACGATGGGCTCAATTCTCCAGCGCTTGAACATACTGGTGGTTGTACTAGGGAAAATGTAATCCCTATGTAATACTCCCTATATAATCCCCATGTAATGTATTCCCTTCTTCCCTACTCACCACCAGCAAGTGAAGCAGGCACCACTGACACAGCTGGTGCTGCGAAGGCAGCCCTTCTTGGGGCAGGGCTTTGGAGTCATCAAGTTGAATCAACCCTAAACCCTAAACCCTCAGGGGGTTAGTAGGAAATGCAAGGAAGCAAGAGGATTCTTTAGCTCAAGCGCTCAAGGCTCTTTCAGCAAGAAAAGATAGCCCCTACATGTCCCTACGTAATACCAAGCAAACTCGTGACGATCCTTTTCCAAGAGCCGCAGCCAGAAGAAATCTGAAATTAAATCCTGAACTCTGAACCCTACACCCTAATGCAGGCCCAGAGCCCAGCATGCAATGAAAGCCCTCAGGACTAGGTAGGGCAAAAGGTCAAATAATGGAGAATCACATGAACAAGGTATGTCATGGACAGCATGTTGGGAGAGTGCGGGAATACTACCCCAATACTGGAAAAAAGAAAATGGCGCATGACATGGAAGCTAAGATTACATTAGGTTTTTAGGTTCCATGCCATATCTTATAATCTCTTACATTTACTGTTAAGATCAAAAAATCGTGCTTCGTAATATTCACCCCCCAGCCCGAAGTCCAGAATGCATGGAAAGCCCTCAAGCTACCATAGGGATATGAGGGGGGATACTAGGGGTTTAGATTGAAACCCCTTTGCGTAAACCTTCGTTTCAACAACACCCAAAAACTCAAAACGCTCTAGCCCGGAGCAATCCTGGGGCCAGCGCTGTAATATGAAATGGGTTGTTCTCAGAATTTATGGGCCTCATTTGGTTACAGGTTAGATCACGGCACCCAATATTTAGGGGTACCAAAATGGGACCCTGATTTTGGGAACTGCCCAAATCCTGATCCTGAACTCCAGGATGTAAGGGTTTTGGGGCTCCGGGTCGGCAGAACGTCCCGGAATCCTCCCACCTCGAACTCAGCTACAAGAGCGATAAAGTTGAAAATCCAACATCACCAAAAACCTGTCTGTAGACAAGACCTAACCATAATCTCTCCCATTCCCTTCCTGAAGCCTCAAATCTGAGTCCTCAGCCCTACATCTTAACCCCTACACCCTAAACCCTAAACCCTCACTCAACACCTCCACTCCGTCGACCTTCGAGGCCAAGCCCCAATCTAGAAGCCAGAAAGAATCGAATACAAAAAGACACAAAACCACATTCATGTTTTTTGGCCTCCACACCCTGAAGCCCTTTACCCTGAACCCTACACCCATGCTATCCTAAAACCCTTACACCCTAAACCCCAAACCCTGTAGC